ATCCATTAAAGAAGAACTTCAGGATTTTAAAAAATTAACCCTTGTAGCGAGGCTACCCCCCACATTGCAAGGGTTAAATGCTTGCTTAGGTCTAGGGGAGAAAAGAAGATATACTCACCTGATCCTTAGGCCTGCAGCATTGAATGCTTACCTCCCTCCCCCTCTCCGCCACAGCTGTGGTATGCCCCTCATTGTCCTCACGTCTAAGGCCCCGTTCACATTGAGCAATTTATCGCGCGGTAATTCCCGCAATATCGCGGCTATTTACCGCACGATATCGCTCTCCAATGCATCTCAATGGGGCAAAGGGTCCTGCTGTCGCGGGTCGTGTGTCGCTACAGCAGGACCCTTTTTGGAGCGGATTTTGCCGCGATTCCATTATTTGCAATGCAAGCATTTGCGCGATATCGTGCAAAATGCAAATCGCGCAACAAACGCGCGATTTGCAAATCGCGCAGTGTGAATGGGGCCTACGGCCTGGTTCACACCTGGGCGTTGTGTAGCGCGTTCGAACGCTCTGCAAAACACTTTGCTCTCATTCACACCTAGGCGTAGTGCATATGCGCGTCTGTCGCGCGTTTTTTTACCACGATTCGCGGTAAAAAAATTGCGCGACAAACGCGCGTTTCAGAGGGCTACTTGGCTGTATCCCAATGGAAACGCGCAACAAAAACCGCCCAAAGTAGTACATGAACCTTTTCAGGCGTGGGCCGTTTTGTAGCGCGTTAGGGGCGGGCTGAAATACGGCAAGGTGTGAACCAGACCCATTGAAAACAATGGGATTTTCATGTTTGAGCGTTTTGTAGAGCGTTCGTCGAGCGTAGAACGCGCTACAAAACGTTCAGGTGTGAACGAGGGCTTAAACACCGAAATCCCATTGTTTCCTATGGGTATGATTTCAGCCCGTCTGAACGCGCTACAAAACGGCCTACGCCCAAAGGAGTACATGTACTTCTTTGGGGCGTTTTGGTCGCGCGTTTCCATTGGGATACAGCCAAGTAGCCCTCGGAAACGCGCGTTTGTCGCGCGTTTTTTTACCGCGAATCGCGGTAAAAACGCGCGACAAACGCGCATATTCAATACGCCAAGGTGTGAACCAAGCCAATAGACCTGCATCACGGGTCATTGGACGAAAAAAAAAGGCTGAGATGCTGCATGCTCGTTTAATAGAGAGAAAACGATGACCATCACTCTGCAAAGTTGGTGGCCCTCCTTGTGTTTCTGATTCCGATGGCGCCACTGTTGGCTCTAAATGGGCAAAGTCCCTGATTCCCTTTAAGGCAGGGCCAAACACCATCACACGAAAAGGAACCTTCATAATCTCAAATCCTTTATTTACATTGGCATATATCTCCTTTGTCTCCAGTAGTACACTTATGAACTCTTTTACACATTTTAGCGTGTAATGGGTTAATGTCTATTGAGGGGTTCCTCTCCCCCCGTTTCTGGAAGAGGTGGATAGTACTTAAGACCTGTATAGGGATCTTGTAATTAGCTATGGCTAAGGCCCAGGGTTGGGATCTGGGGCATGGTCAGTTGCTGTGTCTATATGCCGATTATAATGAAGGATTTGAGATTTTGAAGGATCCCTTTCGAGTTCCGGCATTGGCTGTACTTGGTTAATCAGGGATAATAGGAGCCCCAACCGAGCAGCAAGGTCTCTTCTGGTGGGCATTGAGCATGAGGAGGTTGAGCTGCTTTGTGTGTTTGGATTCCCAGGTCGCCAATGCTCTTTAAAAATTTGAGCTGACGTCCGACATTTGAGTTTTTCTCTAGTTGTTGTCAACGGAGTTGGCTTCTAAAAATGATCTGCAGGCTTCTGGATTGGGCTGACCGGCTCCTGCATTCCAAAGTAATTTGTCCATCCTTAAAAAATATGGAGTCACTTTTTTTCTCTTCAGGGTCATGGGAGAACATATAGTAACCTCCTCCCCACGGGCGTCCCGAGGTCGGGTGTCACCCGGTCTCTAGGCCAGGTGACACCCCACCGTGACGTCACCTCGCGCACATGTAATGACGTCATCATGCATGCGCGGCCATCTGATTGATGCCTGTCGGCGGCCATCTTGGTAGAGAGAGGAGTGGACGTTCACCCTGCGGGATGAGGTATGCCGCCAGGTCCCCTCCTCTCTCCTGACACTGTCAGCCTCTCGGTCCGCGACCGAGTGCCGACTTTTTAGAGGGGGGGGCGACACCAAAATGACTCTCGGTCATTTTCGTGTCACCCCTGCAATGGTGACACACGGGTGCGGGTCGCACCCCCCTTGTGACGCCACTGCTTCTCCCCTGACCCAAAACTCAGTATATCGCGTGCTATTGCCGGCTTTATACAGAGATCGTCGATTGTCGAGAGCCACCCAGCTGGCTGATTGACAACGGGCTCTGCCTATCTAGAGGCAGAGCCAGCTGTGCCCGCCCCCTCCCTTGTCCGTTCCTCCAGTCAGCGCTGGAGGATCGGAGAGGGGAAGGGGGGAATCCCTGCGGGGAGCGATGACTGACAGTCACCGCTCTCTGCAGGGAGAGGATTGGGAAGTCATCGATCGGCGGTATGTGTTCGCTCACTTCCCGATCAATAGAGCCGACCTGTGACAGCTTCAGTGTCATAGGTTGGCTTGAATTATGGGGATGAGTGTTTTTCACTCACCCCATAATTCTCCTTTAAATGCACTTACTATTGTTACCTCCTTGTTGTGTACAACCTTCGTGGTTGAGATATTCAAATTGGGAAGTAAAAATATTTATGCTTCGTTCACAATGTGGTTTTGAAGCTGCAGTTTCGTTGCGGATTTGCTTGCGTGTGTCTTTTTATGGGCCATGGGGTTTTGAGGTGCTTTTTGTTCATGGAATGCAATAACAACTGCTTCTTCAATTAACATTTAAAAGAAAACAAAAACATGCATACACTGAAGAATAATGAAACTGCACAAACATGAACTCTTCCCAGCAATGTCTCTGTGACTTTGTCAGGGTAACATGTGGCTGCATGGCAAAGTCTATATAAGACTATAACAAGCATTAGTAAAACAACACAGAACACATCCACGTGTAATTATCCTTATAGACACTGTCCCTGTTACTGTAGTCAAGAGTAACTCTGATAACAAAGGTTAATAGCTAGAGTGATCCCAGGCCCAAGGACAATAGGCCACCCCAATGCAACTGGAGTACTTTTATAGCAATCAGGGAAATGCTCCCTACAGTAGCCTGGGTCTTTCAGAGTAGCTGTGTACTATTAGACTCCGGCCCGGCTTCCCATAAACCGATTCTGACAGTGGAGGGCCTCTCACCTGGCTTCAGATCACTTGCCCAGCTACCTCCTACTCATAAGATGTGGCCTCTTTGAGCTCCTGGGGGGGAGGGAGCAGAGGTTCCCTGTCCAAGATTTAATGGGGCTCGCACCTGTATCTGAGAATGGTGAGTAAATTAATGGGCCCCCCAATACATCAGTGACGTGGAGTGGAGTCCGTTCTAGGTGAGACATTTCCCCCTGCCCGCCCTCGCCCCAGCCCGCATCTGCCCCTCCCCCAATTCGGTCATCGAGCTGGGTGGAGAATGGAGGGAGGTTGGAGAAGGGAAGAGCCTCCCTGTCCCTCACTTGCTTGTCACTGGAGAGGCATCAAGATCGATGTCCTCACTGTTTTTTTGTTCTTTTTTTTGATTGGACAGCTTGGACTAATGGCGCTTTGCCATTGGTCCAAGCCATACACAGAGCTTACGCCTGTAACAGCAAGTAGAGGCTGTTGCAGCTCTGGTTTCACTATGTTAGGTTACACAAGCAGTGGGGAAGCCCGCTGCTGTGTAACCTAACTTAGCGGTCAAAAGCCGGATGCAGCACTGCCTGTAATTACCAGGTAGAGCTCCGTCCATGACAGGTTACACAGCGGGGAGGCTTTCCCTGGTGTGTAACCTGATAGAAGCCAGAAAAAGCTGTCAGCTTCAGACAGCTTTTTCCTCCATAATACTAGGTGAGGCTCTGCCTCACCTAACCCCACGTCCCTGCACTACACTTATAAGGTGTGGTGTTCAGGAAACAGTCTAAATTTGGCTGCACACGAAAAAGCTCCACTCCAGGCAAAAAAACAAAATTTCTGTCAGAGTGGAGAAAGGATACTTCCACGGTCAAGTTCTTATTACAGTTTGTGTCCAGTTTTGTGAGATTTTCCCTTAATTTGTGTCCAGGCAGGAAGCCACTTCCTCATACTGCAGACTAGACATGTGCGATTTGTTTCGTTCCGAATCACAATGCATGCGAATGTGTCCGAATCCACATTTCCGTTTCAGAATTTTGTATCCCATCCAAATTTCGTTCAAAAACAAAACTGAATCGGAAATGTGACTTTTCTGGCCAATCAGAAATGTTTTTCGGTTTAATGCATCCGAATGGGTCTGAACATTAATTTTTGTTATGGCAACATGGGAGCCATATACAGTCTATACATATCATACTAAAGCTGAGGCTGCTAGACCCGAATTTCCAAATTGCGTTCGGGAGCCTCAGCTTTAGTAATATATGTATATGGCTCCCAGACCCCAATGGCATTCGGGAGCTCCCGAATGCAATTCGGAAATTCGGATCCTGAATGCCATTCAGGTCTAGGAGATTCAGCTTTAGTATTCATATCTGTAGATGGTTCTGTGGTATTTGCAACGAATATTCGTAAACAAAAATTTGGATTTCGAATCTGAAACCCGAACCGAATTGAATTTCGGATCCGAATCCTGAAATAACTAAATGTCCAAAGCAAACCGAATCAAATTTTTCCGCAGCTTACATGTCTACTGCAGACATACAGCAATGAGACTCAAGGCACGGGACTATCTAGATAAATTCAAGACAAGGCAGGTAGATTTTTTTTTTTAGGGTATTACATGGATGCAACTAACATTTCTAGATAGCAAATCTTCATCTTTTTGAGTCCTGGTCACTCTAAGGTGACACTTGCTGGAAAATGTAAATTTTACTTCAGCTACAACTCTAATGGTTCATTTCTTTCTTTCAGCCTTTCTTCACAATGAAGCCGCGTTGGTGGTTTCCGCTCCAACACCACACAGAGCCCAGCTGGGAACCAACATCGTGCTCCCGTGTTCTTTCAAAGTGGACGACGCTTCAATAGACCCTAAGTTCCTCGCCATTTTGTGGCTTTTTAAGGGTGAAGAGGTTCTGAGGGTTGACAACAAGGAGGAAAAGTCTCATCCAAGAATGTTTATGAATAAACAGGACATTGCTAAAGGAATCGCTAGCATGGAAATCAAAAACGTTACCATCTCTGACATTGGACAGTATAGGTGTATGGTGATCTACACTCCACAAAGGCAATACAAGGACATTGACCTCAGTGTTTATGGCAAGTATCCAACACATTCATGTATTTATAAATATGCAAATTGACCCAATTATACTAGTATCATTGTCCCATTGTCTTCAGCTATCACAAGGGTGGACGTTTGCATGACGTGCTTTTTCTGTATGAGTTATATTTGTCGTTGGCCTAGTCATAACTTCATATTATAATATTTAAAATAGAATATAATTAGCAAAGTTGCGCATGTAGATATAAATGTTTTATGAGATTATTGTGTGCAGGTTTTGGATGATGATGCAGCATGAGGATAGTTTTGGCTTTGGAACATTGGCATGGTTGTTCTGGGAGCAAGAATTTCAGTGCTGGAGATGTTTTCAGAAGATGTTTTGAATATTTTGAACACTGTAACTTGTATTATATGTTTTTTTTTTGTACATACACGTAAAAATGGATCACACTAAATGTATCAAGTTCCAAAAACTAATAGTTCATTTAGTTAACCTAAACATCTATTTTTTTTAGGGCTATAGAAATTAAAGATTTATTTCTCGATTATTTCTCGGTTAAACTTTTAAAATCAATTAAAATTATTTTGATCGCTAATGAAAACACTCACCTCTCCGCTGGCTTCCGGGAGTCCCGTCGGCGATCCGGTGACGTCACGGACATCGACGTCACCAGACTCCTCCCCCTTCCCCAAGTGGCTCCGTCGGCTAACGAAGCGAAGGAGGGAGGAGTCCGGTGACGTCGATGTCAAGCGGCGGCCATATTGAGTGGGGCGCGTGAGATTAATAACGTGCTGGATTAGTGTGATCCTAGTTCATTTTATTACTTCATTGCTGTGCTGTATGTGTATAGGCCAATGTAGTTGGATCTGTATGTGCGTTATAATTAATCGAAATTAATCGATCAAAACATTTTTCGATTAATTGAACACGAAAATTTGAATCATTGCCAGCGCTAATTTTTTTAAGTGAAAGGACATTCAAAGCATTTACATTATTCTATATTAGCAGCAAATGAGCTTTAAAATGAGTCTTTACTAACCTCTATAACCTCAGCCACTGTGGAGTAAATTATCTTGCAAGGTCACTGTAGAAACTCTAACGTCATTTGTTTCCTCTCCAAACATTGACTGAGCCCTATGAACGAACTCTATTTGCTCCAGTTTCTAGCATTGACTCAGCAGCTCAGCTCACCCTGTGGCTCCCTACCAGCAATGACTTAGCAGCTCAGCTCACCCTGTGGCTCCTTCCTAGCAGTGACATAACAGCCCTCCAGCATTCCAATCTGCCATGTAAACACAGTAAAAGCACGAATTATAAACAGTGTTTGCCATAAAACTTACCAAAATGTATCAAAAATACAAATTAATTAATGCAATATATGAAATAAAAATGTAACCGTTAGGCCTCATTCACACACAACGCAAGAGCAAAATTGTATGCATATTTGTAAATGCGTATAGTGCGTGAATTGTATGCAATCCCAAAATGCATAATTTTTCACAGAAACTCTAATGTACTGTATGTGCGTATACACGTGCACATATGCGTATATGTCCGCATGCGCGTAAAATATGGAGAAATTCTGAGCCCGGATGCATCTCGGTTCCATTTTGTTTTTGATACGGCTCCATACGTACCCGTGTATGGAGCCATTTATTTGCATATGGGAAAAAAATGAGGCGCATCTATGCGCATCGTATTATGCGACAGTGTGAATGGGGCCTTAGCAATCACAAAAACTATACACCGTGGCACAACTACCAATTACCAGTGACTGAAAAATTGAAGCGGAACTTGCTTTAGGGCCCGGTAACTGCTTGTTCATAGTTTAGGCAATCAGTTAGAGAGCTCTAGGTTACTAAAGCAGAGTATTGAAATCAGCGTCTCTGCCTCAGCAGCACAGCGAAGCAGCAATTAAGTCAGTGGCTGGATGGACTCCGGGGTATTCTACTTTTTTAAGCCAACAGCATTGGAAAGCTGCAGATCTAAAGTCATAGCTCAGATCTTAGGTTTGTGTTCTCTGCAGGGTCCACAGATTTACACTGTTTTGCAAGAGGCAGATTAGAGCTGTCCTTTCAAATTCCTTTCTTGCGGGAAGAAGAAAAAAAACTAAAAAAGAAATAACTTATTCTACGGAATCTCTGTGTAAATGCCAAATTGAGTATTTCCTTCCTTTTTCCATAATCAGCATTTCCCAACTGGGTAACGGATATATATGTGTCATGAGGGTTCAGGGAGCAGCTGAAAATAAGAGAGGGATTTTTTACTTTTAGTAATAGAAATACTACAGCAAAGTGTGATCCTTATAAAATATTACAGATGTTTCTCATCAGCATCCCTCACCAACAGCACGGACAAAAAGGAACAAGCGCACTACCCAGGTTACAAATTTGGCTGGGAAGAGTGAACCAGGGAAGTGGCAACAGTGTGCAAGCTCTTAGGAACAGGGAGAGGGACCCTGTGGTAGCAAAAACAGACGGTGTGTGTGTTAAGAGCGCTACTACTGTTTATGATTTTTGAATTGTATTCAAACAGTAGTAGCTCTCTTAACACACACACCATCCCTCACCAAAAGCTCAACCAGAGGGGTATTATTATTATACAGGATTTATATAGCGCCAACAGTTTGCGCAGCGCTTTACAATATAAGGAAGACATTACAATCACAATACAATTCAAGACAAGATGGTAAGGAGGGCCCTGCCCCTGAGGGCTTACAATAAAAAAGGGAATCACAGGTCCCAGGGCCACACGCCAGCCAGTGTAACCAACTCAGCGTGTTTCCTCTGTCATGGACAGGACCCTACTAGGCTGCGAGTTATCACTGCTCTGCTAGTAACTCTCTAGTTGCTGAAAATAACCACCAATATCAATCTTGCTAAGCCTCATGGGGGGAACCAATGATTCCAATCAAAAAAAGGTCACCAGATCTAGGTCAATTCCTTTCACGGGTTCTCCTCACCTAGCTGCTTCTTCCTAGACCTGCACACTTTAGTAACCACGCTTCCAATTTTGATGCACATTAGCTGTCCATAAAGGCCATCTAGTTGTCTTGGACATTCTTCTTACTTTAACCTGATATTGTTTTCTGCTCAGCAGATGTGTCAGTGAGTCATTTCTTCTATAACTGCAGAAGGTGTTTAGTAGTCATACCTCTTATCGGCTTACAACATTTGTTAAAAATGCAAGCTTTCTGAACCTCCCTTAGGCCCCTTCCTCAGGTATCATACAATGGCAGAGTAATGGGCATAAGGAAAGTCCTGAAAGCTTGCATCCTTAATAACTTACATTAGCCAATAAAAGGTATCGATTAACCTGCAAACTTTCTGCATTGATCAATGGCTGGCAGAACAAGACTCTTAATTCTTCAACAGCTCATGGTTTTACGTTCCCTTTCAGCAACTCCATCAATTATAATTGAGAAAGTGGAGAAGGAGGACAAGACAAGCTTTGCACGGTGCTCGGTGAATAGTTTCTACCCCAAACATATCACAGTGGAAATCCTAACGGACCACACAATTATTGACGACTTAGTACTATCGGAATATCACACAAATGATGATGGCACTTACTCGGTTAATAGGACATGGCAGATACCATCTGATGAGTCACCAAAAATGTTGTCCTGTACAGTCCACCATGAAACACTCACACCTTATGTACAAAAAGACCTTCAGCTGGTTTATCAAGGTAAGGCCCAAAACTCATCCTGTACTGTCTATTGTAAACCACAGAGGAATGTTTAGTAACAAATCTTAAACCGGTAACCCACAGATGTGAGGTCATTTTGGGTAATAGGTGTGATGTGAGCATAAATGCTTATATCAGCTGAGAGTGCGTGTTTATACCTTCTGTAGACACCCCTGGAACCATTATCTGAAAGTACATCTCAACACAAAAACAAAAAGTATATATATTGTAGCTTACCAGTGCCATGGGGGGAGGGGGGGGGGGGGGTTGTAGTTCACAGAGGTGGACTGGCCAAGGCTGATAACACTGCTTGGTATTTCAGTACAATTGAGGCAAAGAGCACAAAAGGTACTCAGACATGCTGTGGTAACCCAACTGTTATTGTGCGCTTACCACAATGCACGGCAAGGCACTTTACTTGCATTGGTGCAATTCATAGTGAATGGCTCCCCAGTATGCCTCCAGAATGCATGTGTGCTCCAATGCAGCACAGCACAATGCATCGTGTCCTGTGCATTGTGACATGATAAAATGCAGCCTGCTCTATTTTCACGTGTTGCTCTGCATTTCAGCCTGTTCATTTTAATTTCATGAGTAGACTGTTTAAAGCAATGCCGCTACATGCATTGTGGTGTGAATGGGCCCTACCGTGTTTCCCCGAAAATAAGACACTGTCTTATATTTTTTTTGGCTCAAAAAAACACACTAGGTCTTATTTTCGGGTTAGGTCTTATTTTTTTTTAATGTAGAACAATCCAAAATTAATTCAAATCCAAATTAAATAATCCAAAATGGCAAAAGGTAAGAATAGGTTGATCAGGGCAATCAGGGGTGTCGTACCTTTCCAAGAGCAATTTGGCAACCATATGCTGGCCAGAATGAGCGAAGCGCGCTTTCACTATAAATTCCTCACAGGTGGAGTGCATTTGGTATCACTCCGCCTGTGACAGGAGCCGGCGCTATAGAGGAGGCATGCGGCTTATGCGGCTCTGCTCCCTCCGCTGCTGCCTCGCTTCCTCTAGCGCTGGCATCGCCGATTCTCTCCCGTGGCTCTTCAAGTTTTCCCTTCTGCCACCACCGGCCCTAGGAAAGGTCACAACTAGGTCTTATTTTCGGGGTAGGTCTTATATTTTAAGAAATCCCAAAAATAGTACTAGGTCTTATTTTCAGGGTAGGTCTTATTTTCGGGGAAACAGGGTATGTATGCTAAGTCCTAAAACAAAGTAAATGTCTATCTACCCACCCAGAGGAAGGCTGCTCAACTACATGGCTTCTGATATCTGGTATAATAACGTTCCCAGGCACCATGCCCCTTAATGTGATCAACTGTATTGGTCTCTAGTAATCAGGCTCTGGGTCACCCCTAGCAATCAGGAACCAATCATTGTGGTTCCCAGTAATGTGATCACCATGACAGTCATTCATGTGCAAGTTGGAGATTTATTCAGAAAATAATCCCTTTCAGACCTTAGATGTCATTGCAGCCTGAAGCGGAACGTGTGCCCTTATTAAATATTGTAATTGTCATATACAATTACAGTATTGAAAGCTGTCTGTTTTTTAATAAGAATTTAAAACAATAATAATAATTCACAGTCAGCATATAATTAAAAAAAAAAAACAAAGCAACTAACATCTGAATATAATCCTCTTTGGACCTTAGATGCTACTGCAGCCTAAAGATGACAGTGTGCTCCTATTTAATACTGTAATTGTCAAATACATTTACAGTATTGAAAACTGTTTATTAATTTAAAAAAAAACATGAATTTAAATAATAAAATCCTATTTCACATTGTGTCAGCATAAAAAAAAAAATATACAAAAACAGCTAAGAACTGGTAAGCCGCAATATATAATACATTTGGCTTTTGATTGCTTTCATGTGTGATATTTATGTTTTTCCTTTGTGGGTTTTTTTGTGGGGTTCTTTAGATATTATGAATAAAATAGTAGAATATGTTTTAATATCATTATTGTGGGATTGTTTTTGGAAACATAAATACTCTATATACATTTTTCTTCTACTTGATATTTGCTACATTGGATGGGATCCCCTTCAACCCTCAATTTTCCAGGTGGTTGCGCATCCTTGAATGGGATATGCATTTTTCTTTATGAAATGGAAACACTCTAAAGCAGGTGTAGCCAACCAGTGGCCCTCCAGCTATGGTGAAACTACAAATCCCATGATGCATCTCTCTCCGGGAGTCATGTCTGTGACTGTGAGAATGTTGCAATGCCTCATGGGATTTGTAGTTCCACCACAGCTGGAGGACCACTGGTTGGCTACCACTGCTCTAAAGGGACCAATAGCTTCATCTACTGGCTGAATATGAGAATGCAAAATATTCATAAACAATATTTTGTATTTTAAAAATAAAGTGCAACTTTGGGGAAGGAAAGAGCAAAATGAGGTCTGAGATGTAAAGTTAATGTACTCCAGTAAAGATTATCCTTGTCACCATTAAATGACTTGCAGCCGGAAACATATTCCCTGATGAACAACAATAAGCATTCTCTGAATTGACCGGGAGAACTCTCACTGCACCGAGTGAATGTTGCAAGGTGAAAATCTTTGATTCCACCTCCTCATCTCACTTTCTGGTGCTGCTGTCAGTTGCATTGCTCTCAGTTCTCTTTGTGGTAGACACCTGATGATGGTTCGAGGTCATACGGTATTTAAACTCTATTATTATCTCTTGAAGACCAGAACTCTACAGGCGTGGTGGTGGGCGGCGTTGTTGCCGGAGTCATCATTTCGATACTGGCCATCCTTTTCTTTTTATGGTATCGCAAAAGGAAATCAGGTGAGACATTGTATTTCCAAGCCATACATTTTTACTTATTACTTTTCATATACTGATTGCATACTGACACTTATAAGTATTAGGAACGTCACATTCACATTACATTCCTGTGATAGGGCTAGCCTCTGCCTAATTATCCCACCTCAAACTAAACACTCAACCATCACGTTCTCAGACAATTCATCCCCACACAGCTACCTCCTCATGTATCACCTCCCCCTCCCTTTTAGATTGCAAGCCCTCAGGGGCAGGGTCCTCATAACCATCTTGTCTTGGAGTTGTATTGTGATTGTAATGTCTTCCTTATATTGTAAAGCGCTGCACAAACTGTTGGCGCCATATAAATCCTGTATAATATGTAAGAAGGTCACTGGTCTGTAGTCAGGAGTTTGCAGTATGTGCAGATTTATTGTGAATAAATCATCAACAGTCTCTTTCAATAGGGCGCTTTCTCCCTATTCAACAAAACAGCTTCCAGCAGCAGTAACACGAAATCAAAAGGCCGGCTCCAACTTAGGAGTCTAACTAACAGTAGTTTCCCTGACTACTTCCTACTGGAGCGGCTATTCCAGCTTTCAGTACCAAAAAGAAGCATAAAGAAACACATGGGGGAATTTATCAATACTGGAGCAGACAAAATTGGAGCAAATTTGCAGAGCAACCAATCAGCTTCTCTGTTTCTTTTTCAAATCTTACCTGAGCAAACTAAAGAGAGATGCAGATAGGTTGCCAGGGGCAACTGCTCCAGATTTTGTCTGCTCCTGTTTTGATAAATTCCCCCCACAGTCTTTAACATATAATTTTTAGCCAGACCTTACCCCTCAGGTATTCAGCCGCTCTCCAGTCTGTGTCTGCATCCATCCAGTCCAGCATGGATCTCTCTCTGAGCTCTCTCCCAGTCTCAGTCACTATCAGGTGAAGGCTAATTAATAGAGAGAGGAGGTGTCCCTGTTGGGGCTTAACTCCTTCCAAGCCAGGGAAAGTTGCCCTTCTCAATCTCTCAGTGACATACACAAAGTCATATACCCTGCCACAAATAATAATAATTATCTCTTTTGAGGTGTCTATTGAGAAAAAAGCAGAAATGAGTCAGTATGGGGCGGAGATAAGATGACAGCCCACAGAAATGATGAATGAGAGAGCAAGGTTTGCAGGAGTTAAAGTGGAAGTGAAGGTTCATGGAGGATCGTTTTTTACTTGTGGTTTTTACTAAAGATATCCTTTGCTTATGTATTATATCATCACAAGTCAAGTATTGAACTTGAAATACTGTATGATGATATAATACATAAGCAAAAATAAATGTTAGTTTTCAGCTTATGAAATTGGTATTAAAGTTTGTCCGATCTCCACTAGTCCCACCAGAGCCATTGCAATATACACCACACATTTCAGAAGTCAAACTTATTTGTCAAGTCCTGTCCTCTTTGGAATTATTATATTACAAGTCAACTTAACTCTTTAAATTTCTGTATGTCAACCACAGTAACGATTTGCCTATCTGGAATTAGATACATATTGCTTTCTCACATTGTTATTATGTTTCATACAGGTCAGATGTTTATGGTGAATGACATTGAGAGTCCCGTGTGGGTTGATGGTGAGAAGACCACACTGCCCTGTAAAGCTTCAAACTGTACTGGGGATGTCCAGGTGGCTTGGGTCATTAAATTGAGAGATGGCACAGAACTTGAAGTCTCAGACACTAGATCAGGAGATAAGGAAGAGGAACAACCTTTATTGTCCAGAGAGTACCACGTGACAAGTGACCGGGACAGTCAGAAGTCAAAAGGACATGTGACCACAAAGCTGACCTTCATTCCTTCTATATCCAGACATCTGGGGTCCACTATAACCTGCAGGATCATTCATAAAAATAAACCTGTGGAGAAAACCTGTGAGATCAAGTCCATCTATGGTAAATAATGTAACCCTATGTTATGATGTGTGAGTTGTAGCAGTGTGTATTAAACAGAAATAGCTTGTAGTCAACCAACACCCGACTTTTGAGTTGCAGCATTGCTCCTGGCCTATTCAGAGTGTCTTGGACTTATGTTCAGTCTGTGGTAGATCTTCCCACTTGGACCTAGAGGCAGTATTCTGACAGTCAGCCTCATTGCTTGGCATATGATAGATAAGAATGTTCTGTATATGATAGTTACATAGTTACATAGTATTTGAGGTTGAATAAAGACATTAGTCCATCAAGTCCAACCTATTAGGATCTCATTCTAGGAGTTAAAAAAAAAAAAAAAAAAAAAAAAAAAAGGGAACAGTTTAAAAAAACTGACAGAAAAGGAAAAAGAGTGATATGATAGATAAGAATGTTCTGTAACATAAGAATGTTCTGTATTGGCCAACAGCAACCAGTCATATTTAAATTGGTTCAGTGCACTGAGCTTGCTTAATGATGACTCGTGTGGGGCAGAGTAGACAGTTCTTATTTTAGATAAAAACTACCGTATTTGTATTTTTATCTTTTCCTTAAACCAAAGAAGGATAGAGTTTTTTGCATACATTAATTTGTATCTAGGGTAATAAATTCTTTTAAATCCAGAATTCTTAAGAACAAGCAGAACACACTCAGAGGATATATCAATACATTTAGCAGTTACTATTTTCTGAACACAGACTCACGTTTACTCTTAGGCTAGGTTCACAACTGGGTGATCCATCGTGCACAAAATCGTGCGCGGATTGCCCAGCGGTCACAAAGTCACCCACCACAGCCAATTATTTTGTAATGGAACCCCAGTCGTGCCAGGTGGATTGCGCAGTTTCTCGCTGTGATTCCGCCCGTGTAATTGAACATGATCGCGGCTAAAAAAAAGTTGTGCGTTGTGTGCACCTTTTTTTAGCGATTGCCGCGCGGATGTAACCCCTTTGAAATCAATCGCGGCAATCACTGAGTGCACCTAAACACGATTGCGTTGTCTTAGGATGCGCAAAACCAGCAAAAAGTCACTCGCACTCCAACATAATATCCAGTCAATCTATTTATTGACCAAAAAGGTGCAGCATTTCCATGCAACATTTCAGAACCCAAAGGTCCCTTCATCAGGCAATTTCTATTTGCCTGATGAAGGGACCTTTGGATTCTGAAACGTTGCATGGAAATGCTGCACCATTTTGGTCAATAAATAGATTGACTGGATATTATGTTGGAGTGCGAGTGACTTTTTGCTGGTTCTACGTTTTCTGCCAAGGCATCTGCTGCCGCTACCGCACTCATCCTGCCTATTGGGATTCTCTTCGGTCAGGAGTGCGATGGGAAATTATGGACTTTGTCCCAGGATGCGTGTCCTGGGTATCACTCAGATCTGAACCTAGCCATAGTAAGCTCTTAGTAACTACAAACTATGACAGGAAGAGCAGCGGAGCTTACAGAGTTTTTTTTCAATTCTTTATTGCCATTGTGGTTATCTTTCACCCAAATTCTCCAATGTACTACTTAAAGTATAAGTGAACCCAAAACTTTCCTTTACATTTTAGATAGACATGTGGATCAGCAAAAACATTTGTTTCATTTTGTTTTCATTAGGATTTTTCGTTAATTCTTTTTTTTGACATACGGGTCCGAAAGTCAATTCATTTCGGGATTAGGATTCGGGCGAATTCCGATTGTTCGTTAGTGGTAGTATGTGCGAATTTTCATTGCGGACGAATCTTCGTTGCAGCAAAGTGACAAAAAAAAATGTCACTTTGCTGCAACGAAAACTCGATCATGAGGAAAATTTGTACATACTACCGCTAATGAAAGTTGATGCTTAATACAATAAAACTTCTTTCGTGAAAGAAACTCGGATGCATCTGAAATTTTCGTCTTTGGAAATTCGTATTAGTTTTCATTCGTTATTTCTGTCATTCGGAAATTCGGATGCATCTGAATGTTCGAATTTCCGAAAATGTGTCCGAATAAGGAATCTTTCCGAAACAAATCGCCCATGTTTAATTTTAGATGAGGGGAGTAGGGAATGGTGAAAACCCCTGTCATTCTTTTCCATGTGTGCCGGATTCGGATGCTTTCCCTTTACTTCCTGTGTTCTAGATACATAAGAAATAAGATGGAACCTCCCCTAGTTAAAAGAAATGCCCTATTAGACAACTGTCACCCGAAACAGGCATCCCCATTGGATGATTTCCCCGTTATTCCTGAACTGTGGCAACCCAAAAATGTGGTACTCCCTCACTTTTAGCCCCAGTGACAATGATCAAGGGGACAAATTGAGAGTGTGTGTTTCCTTAACAGGGACACAGACTGGATTTTAACCACTCCCCACTCTTTCAAAATCTAAAATAAAAGTTTTGGCTTTAGATACACTGGAATAATTTTCTTTTTTTGTGATTTATTAAAGAACACTGCACTTATGTAGATAATAAATTCTCAATATTGGATCAGTGAGGAGGGTCAGGTGTTTTCATGAGCTTGGAGCTTCAGCCAGTTTTAGGGTATCATATATCCAGCATTTACAGCAAGGTTTTACTTCCTATAAATCTTTATTTTTTTAACTTATCTTTCTGGAACTTTAATAATTACAACAGGTGAATAATTAAAGAGGGAGTTTGATGTCACCTAGCTTGGTTCATAAATGTTCTAAATCTAATTTTTTTATTTTATTCAAACATGTTGCTTATTTCTGCAGCGAAACCCAAGTTCGTTGAGCCTGTACAGTTTACACTATCTGACCAAGGAGATGTACAAATATCAGTTAAGTTACAGAAGTTTTATCCTCAGGAGATGGAGGTGAGCTGGTTCTCTAGAAGGGGGCAATCTGAAGAGAAAATGCCATCAGAGGACACGAGCAGCAATTCTGGAGATACGTTTGATTTGGAGAGTAAATGTTCAGTTTCCGGAGATCTATTCAATGATCCCACATATAAAGTCATTGTGAGGTGGAAACATCAGTCCATGGAGGAATCACAATCCCGTGAGCTCTCTGTAAGAGGTAAGGATTTAGGACTACAGAATGGTAATTTACCCCCTTCTGTCTTTTGCTATATTTTTGAGGCATGAATGTAAATTCTTTAGGGCCAAGAATTATTTGGATATACATTTTTTATTTAGCATTTTAAAATATAAACAGGGGGTACAGAAAAGGGAGAAAGTGTTTACAGAATGAAAGCTTGCCAATGGGGTAATACTGGCTTAGCAAAAATAGACACGTGAATAGAGTATACACATAAACATATGATGACTATGAGTTTGTCCCCCAAATTAGTTTGAATAGAGAGCATGGCCCAAGGTTGCCCCTTGTAGGCCCAGTAGGGAAAAATAATAAGGTCCCTAAGAGCAGGGCTAGTGAGGAGAAGGAAGGCAGATCAATATAATGAAGAAGTCAAAAAAAGGCATAGAAAAAAAGAAGGGGATGAGAAGGAGGGAGGCACTGCAACCACCCAAAAGTGGAGGGAAATTGTCAGCAGTGACAATGTAAAGGCAGACTGCATGTTCATTTATGGGTTCTAGGGGGTTGGGTCAGCCTGGGGGGAAAAGTATTCTAACGTGAAGATGAAATCATGTCCACAGAATCAAGTTTTCTTACTCTGTTCCTCATTAGTGTGAAGAACATGAGTGAGATCCATCATATCTTTAATCGCATTGACCTTGCGAAATTCTAAAAGATTTTTACACATTTGCTTGTGAGCCTTCATGTCATGGTGCTCAGTTGTGTAGAAAATGTATTCTGAGTTTCAAATCTTGCTTTCTGAAAGAGTTACACCGAATCTGTTTGGAGAACATGGTGCCTTGCTGACATGATAGGATTCAGATAGATTGGCTTTCCAGTCACTAGCTTAATGCAGGGTTAAAGGATACATTGGATGTTCTTCTGAGTTTAATGCAAGTAAAACGATCTTTTGGAGTCTAGTCTCCGTGATAGCGCAGAAGACACTATAATATCTGGGACACAAGGCAGCTAATGAGTAGAAGAAGCTTGGACTGAACTCATTAGTTAAAACAGGACAACTTGAACATGCCAAATCAAAAACAACATTATTATTATTATACAGGATTTATATGGCACCAACAGTTTGCGCAGCGCTTTACAATATAAGGAAGACATTACAGTCACAATACAATTCAAGACAAGATGGTAAGCAGGGCCCTGCCCCTGAGGGCTTACAATCTAAAAGGGAGGGGGAAGTGATACCTGAGGAGGTAGCTGTGCAGGGATGATTGTTTGAGAATGTGATGGTTTAGTGGTTAGGTTGAGGTGGGATAGGCTTCCCTGAAGAGATGAGTCTTAAGAGATCGCCTAAAGGCAGTCAGAGTCGGAGATAGTCGGACAGGTTGGGGTAGAGAGTTCCATAGGATGGGAGAGGCTCTAGTGAAGTCCTGGAAGCGAGCATGGGAGGAGTTGATTAAGGAAGCTGGAGAGCAGGAGGTCTTGTGAAGAGCGTAGGATAAAGAGGAGAGTAACAAGTGTGATGGAGGGTCTGGAACATGAATAGGGGAAGGTAACTGCACAGTGGCGATCTGATCCCGAATTGTATCTATTTTGTTTTTTAAATGAGTTGCAATGTCCTGGGCAGTGAGTGAGTTAGTGGGTGATGGCGGTGGGGGACATTGTAGAGAGTTAAAAGTGGAAAAGAATTGACGAGGTTTGGATGAGAGTGAGTTAATAAGAGTGACAACATAAGTCTGTTTGGCAGCACGGAGGAAGGAGTTATATTTTAGGAGGGCAGCTTTGTACAGGGTGAAGTCTTGCAGAAGTCTGGTTTTTCGCCACAGTCGTTCAAGAGCGCGGCTATGTCTTTTTAGATGTCTGGTTTCTTTTGTTTGCCACGGTTGTAGTGGACGTGGTCTAATTCTGCGTGTAGTGAGGGGAGCCAAGGTGTCTAGGGAGGATCAAAGTGAGCTGTTGTAGACAGAAGTAGCCAGGTCAGGGCAGGACAGGGGTGAGATTTTGTCGTAGAGGTAGTCAGTAGCAGAGTAGAGAAGAGAAGGGTCGAGGTGGCAAAGGTTTCTCCGGGTGACAATGTGCCCTGTAGGTGGATTCAGGGTTGGGGATAGGTTGAGGGTAAAACTGACAAGGTTGTGGTCTGAGAGGGGAAAAGGGGTGTTGGAGATTACACACATAAGACTGGTTGCTTGTGGTAGTGAACCATATATTGTATTGCAATTGATAATTTCTAATGGTTCAGTTATTAAATTGAATAAATAGTAATAATATTATAACCAGCACTGGGAATGTGAATGCAACAAATTTATGGAAGGGCAAACACTTATAAGGTCTAATGTCTGATGTGTTTCCACGTGTGTCTTTGTCCCTTTTTCAGACCTTCACTGGTGTCCAAAGCTACAGAACATCCCAATAGAAACTGTTTTCCAGGATGATGAGGTTATTTTACAGTGCCGGGTGACAGACTACTTCCCCAATGCTCTGGCAGTGAAATGGTTTGAGAAGAAAATGGGCAGTCAGGACTTGGTAGAAATTTCCAATTCTCAGAAATACAAAGTTCCAGAAATCTCATCGTACAGGATGGAAAACGGAACATTCTCTTCTACAGCGGTCTTATCTTACAAGAGATCTGATCTGTCAGGGAAGGGAGTGGAGTTTATCTGCAGAGTGGAACATCCCAGCCTGGATACACCCATCCAAAATAGTATTTTACAGTACAGAGATACAGGTAAGTAATAATATTTTATCATGTCATGTGTATAATGGGAACTATTTCCTCATTTCTAAACCAGTAGTGAGTATAGAAAATAATTTGGGCCTGATTTACTAAATAGTGAATTGATCAGAAACATCCAATTATGTGCAGACGTATTAAAAAATAGAGTTTCTCTTTTCCATGATTAGATGTTCCTCTGCACTTCTGTTCATACTTTGGTTGCTCTGGAAAGTGAGCTACCTTCAGTTTTAAGACCAAAGGGCCTAGACCACACTCATATCCTTAGGAGCTTCCCTGGGAATGCACACTCAGCCTTCTTCACCCAGTCTATGTCCTGCAGCAGACAGATCTTCAAAATGGGGCATCTGAGACTCGCTTGAACCTTTGCAGACACAAACCAGCTTACCAGAGTGTTCCAGACCTGAGAGGGTCTCTTAGTTTTGCCACTCTTTTTTGGCTGTCACACACTTAGAGAATAGCCCAACGTGCAACCCCATGACCACCACTCATATCACTTTCCACTGCACAGCTTCTTGGTTAGCACCACTGGATTCACTGGACAGCTCTCTAATGCTCAGGAACATTAATCGTGGCATCACTTACCATCTTGATCAGTAGATAAGGCAGTCACTTCAACAGTCAATTAACATTAATCAGATTTGGTCAATGCACCTCTGGTTGGCCTCTGAAGTTCTTTCAATCCTGCCAACACTGAAAATTCCTAGAGGAACAAAATCCCCTACCTGAGTTCCCCCAAGGATGGCGAACTCCATAAAACAACTACATATCAGGCCTAGTTGTAGCTCCCACCAGCAGAAAGGTGTTACCTCAACAACTGCCTCTTCTTGCTGTGATAGCACATATATGTATATTATATAGGGGCTACATTTGATTGAAGGAAAATGTCCTCCAGTTAGAGAAGAGGCAATTTGTTGCTATATTAGGGTGTAAGGAATGGAAGCACACTAAGAGATGTCCAACAATTCTAAAGATATACCAGCCATGTGTTTAATCTTAACAGCATCAGATGGTTTTTTTTTTCATCCTACATATGAACTGTAAATGCATTTAAATTTAAGGAAATGTCATATTCTCTGTGCATTCCCACCTAACATTGTATTCAATGGCCACAGTGGAAACTGAATATTTATGTTAGTATTGCCCTTATACATTTTTCCAAAAGCACTTTGTCAAATTTTTGTATGTGTTATCTTTTTCTCTGCTAGAGGCTCCAACGTTTGTCATAAACAACATCCAGGGACCCCAGACGTGGTACAACGGGGAGAAGGTCACTTTATACTGTGCGGCCTCATACTGTTTGGAAGGTGCACAAGTAAATTGGATTGTGAAAGCAGCAGGTGTCACTATCTGTGAAATAGGCGAGGATGGAGCAGATGTGAAGAAAGCCCCTCATCAGTCCTCTGGCTATGTGGCTCACAGAGAAAGAACTGAAATATCTGATAAGGAAGGTCTTCAGGATGTCACCTCCTCTCTGACCTTCACACCTTCCATCTCTAAACACCAAAATATCGACATTGCCTGTAAGATTCTCTGTGATGAAAAAGTAAAGGAGAAGACTTTTCAGTACAAATATCTTTATGGTGAGATATTTTTTCTGTATTTTTGTGTATTTACTTCTAAAGGGCAAAAAGTATTTGATTATTCTGTCTCAAATGTTGCTTTGTGCAAGAAAACATAACTCCTGTGACACATTCTTCATGGAGAGTTTGGCATCTTACTTACTTGACAATGTCCATAGGCAGTTTAACTCACCAGGAAGGGTAAAATTAAATGCAGTTTTATTGCAGCTTAGCACAAACAGGAGATGTTATTTTGGCTTGAATGAAGGTAAACATTTAATTCTCTTCCAAAGCTTCCTGGCTCTGTAAGGGTAAAAACCATTCTAATATCCTGTATGGTGAGGCTGGGAATGGTTCCTTGGGTATTGTACTAACTAGCCACAAAAATAAGAAAGAGAATAGAGTGAAACATACCAACACATGAAATCACAAATAATAAACTGGCTGCTTGTAATAGCACATTATGTTGCCTTGTTTGAGTTAAAGAATACAGAAACATTTAATATTGGATGTTTTCTTTGTGCATTGACAGTTTTCTCATTTTATTCCAGCAAAACCCAATGTGTCCGGTCCTATAAAACTGTCTCTGACTGATTCTGGAGAGGTGCTGTGCTCACTGGACATACAGGGATTTTACCCCAGTGATATTCAGATGAAATGGAACAACACGGAGACTTCAGAACCAAACAGACCATCTCAGAAGAGTGATGGCACCTTTAGTGTTCACAGTGAATGTAAACTTCCTGGGAGCTTCTTCAGTCATCCCGGCTCTGCAGTGAAGGTGTCCTGGAAACACGATTCCATGAAGGACTGGGAGAGCAGAGAGCTGTCTGTACTGGATAAAGGTACCAAGAATGATCAGATCTAGGAGTTACTGAATGAATGACACCTGTATTTTAAAGGAATCTGATTAAACTACAATCAGAATAAGATGGAACAAGTATTTTGGGGGTAACGAAGTAACAATGATCCTTAGTATACAGGTGAAACTCGAATAATTAGAATATCATGCAAAAGTAATTGCAGTAAGTGCTGCAAAAGGGGCCCAAACCAAGTACTGAGTACATATGCATGCTTGTACTTTTCAGAGGTCCGATATTGTTCTATGTACAATCCTTGTTTTATTGATTGCATGTAATAATCTACTTTTTTGAGGTTGTGGATTTGGGGTTCTTGGGGTTTTCATGAGCTGTAAGCCATAATCATCACAATTATGACAAATTACAGCTTGAATTATCTTGCTTTGCATGTAATGAGTCTATCTCATATATTAGTTTCACCTTTTAAGTTGCATTAGTGAAATAAATGAACTTTGCACGATATTCTAATTATTCGAGTTTCACCTGTAATTTAGTATGCATATAAGCATTGAATAGAAGGCCTGCTTGAAACTTTGTTGTTTAATAAAGAGACCCATGTCTTCCTCTTTTTATACTAGCAAAAGAAAAAATGGTGCACAGCCATTAAACAAATGTGAGCTTTATTGAAGGTATCCCAGCTTATTGCCAGCATATCCTCAGTTTACATGGATACTTTGCAAAGTGTCAGTGCCCCACTCTCCCTCTCTATACATCTGTAGAAGTGAGATTAGACAATTTATACTGCAGTCAACACCGGCCGTTTTTTCCTGTCCTGAGAGTCAGCATGCCTTGCAGTATTGCACACATGCCAATTAGACTACAGGGCCAGCCCAGCTCTTGTAGATGTAGAGGGAGATGGGCTATCCATTTTGGACTGTGGTAGTGACCTGGCACATGAATATTGACACTAGTCCTGTATATATACTGTACCACAGCGCTAAAACTACATAGGTTAAACATGGTTTTGTAAACGCTTGAGTGGCATGGTAGAGTTTTATTTCCTAAGATTAAAAGCAATCCAAAAGTTCATCAGTTGTGTGTTAAAAGTTTATATGATTCCATGGTAGTCAATCTTCTTGCTAGTGATTGTAAACCGATATGTTCCATTCTACATATGTAATATGAAGATAAAATTATAAAGCCGTCCTACCATCCTACAATAGATTCAATGGTGGCATTTGACTAGTCAATTTCTACTTTCGCTCATAGTACACTCCATGTATCGGTTTAATATTTGAGTGGGATAGCTCGCAGTCCTGACCGGTGACTTTTGCTCTAAGTGTAGTGTACTTCCTGCAGAGAGTGTGTGATGTCACTACATTTCCAGGTAGGGGCCTACGCATTCCATCAGCCTCTCTGCTGTCTTTATTAAGGCATACTTATTGAGAAAGACAACAGAGACATGTTAAATATTTGGATCTTGACACTACCCATGCCATTCAGGTGTTAGCAATTTTGTAATTCTTTACCTGTTACTTTTTTTCTGCCAATAACTTGATCCTCTTCTACTATAAATCTGTCACATGCAGAGTTTCCCTGGAAGCCGGACACACAGGATATTGCAATCCCCAATCTTCTTATTGGCCGAACAGCTACACTGAAGTGTGAGGTGTCCAATGTATTTCCTGATGTCCTGAGTGTGAAATGGCTGAAGAAGGAGAAGGACAGTGAGGAAATATTCCCTGTGATCCACAACCAAACGTATAATATCTCAGAGCTCCGACCTGAGAAGCAGAAGGATAAAACATTCACATACAAGTCATGCTTAAAGTTCAAACCATCTATCAGTACAGAGGAGGGGGCAACGTTTATCTGCAGGGTGGAACATCCCGCTCTGGAGAGAGCAGCAGAGAAGAGCACCGGACCTCTCACTATAAAAGGTGACCATTCATTACAATGCCCTGTAGAGCAAAACATACTAGAAGTTCTCAGAATTGTTGTCATTCCTCCCCAGCAGAACATAGATTGTGGGTCTCTGCATTGCAAGTCAACTTCTTTCCACTGGTGGCTTCAGCATTTACCACATATTAAGCTTTGCTGGGAAGGGCTGTGGACTGGTTTGGGAACTTTTAAATGGTATGCTGATAGTGTATTATAGAACAGCAACAAAAATGAATTGCCTTGATGGACCCTATCTGATGGTACCTCTCTCCCTTGGAGATTACACAGAAAACAAGAAGGAGTTAGGGTTTAATGAGGTGTCATAGCCATTGCACAAGTAAAATCAAAAGAAATTTATTGGTACATATTCTTACATGATATCAGTAAAGGTTTGGGCATCATAAAAACATAAGTTCCCCCACATTATCCCTAGATACGCCGCCATATAAATACATAGCCACAAATTCATGTATATACATATCCAAATGATTCCTTGGTAAATTCATAATAATCCCACATTGTGGTAATTCTGGCCAACTTGTGTATCAGGCATAAATTGCCTTATAGAACAGTGTAGCTCTAATCTAAGTTGTTCTAGAATCTAGATCAACAGCACATGAGAGACCAGACTTCCAGGATATCTGCACTAATTATTGGAAGAATCCAAGTAAAATGTGTTAACACCCTCAATTTGCTGTTGTCTGGCAGGAAAATGAGTGTATATTAATAACTAAGTGTATAGCTAATACTTCTTAAACATCCAAGCATAGCACTTGTACCTGGTGCTGGGCTTTCCAATGAGCACAACTAGGAAAAGATTTCTAGTACTGTATGAATGGATTTCTATACAAAATTAATTCATAAACCTTCATTCATCATAATATATAAACACACACACAGTTTTGTGTCCCTTGTGTTTTCCATTTTTTTAGTATTTTTGGTGTATTTAAATGTATGTATTTAAACCCATTTTTCCTAAAATACTTTGAGTAATAACAAAAAGGTACATATTTCATGAATATTCAGGCAAGGACATTGATAGCCAATGGTAGGAAGATACTGTATCTCAGATAACTGTATGCATTGTTAGCATTGCATTCAAACAGAACAGACTCAGCTGAAGATAATAACGTGGAGTGAATAATTAATATTTTTTTTGGCTGAGTTGTGATTATGAATGTATAGGAAAACTATATTTTTTAACCTTTATTTCAAAATATACAAATTTATAAAACTAGAACTTGGTAACAGGTAACATAATGCAGTGATTTATTGACGGCACACCAGAAAATATCTCACGGCACACTAGTGTGCCGCGGCACAGTGGTTGAAAAACGCTGACATAATGTATATATCCAGCTAAAACTTTTTTAACTTACGGATTGGGGAAGGAATAAAACGTCAGAACTTCCTGTCCTGCTGACATTGGTTTACAAGACAGGAAGTGAGAGGAACTCTCCAACAGCAACACAGACAGATGCTTTTTTTGGTAGATTTTGTGTTAGTTGATTGGAGGAATCCTAGAACCCCTGTTGGATTTCTCATGCTGTCTGGGTCCCTGTTGCATATTTTCCACTACTTCTGGTTGGGTGAAACTGTTGTCAGCTGGATGGGAAGTGAGGGAAATTCTCTCTATCGGAGCCCCGTATAGCAGTAAAACCTGACAGGGGTTCAACTTTTCCCATTCTATCCAAAACCAAAATAAAGAATTTTTTTTTTTGTCTGGGCATCTAAACAAGTGATACTGTAAAAGATAATAGAAATTATACACCAGAGACCCACGGAGGAAAACTGTGAACTTTGGAAGGGAGATCAGTGTGGATATAGAAGTACACATTATATCCTACAGAATGTCACGGTTTGGTTGAGAGGTTCAGGAGGAGACTGTACATACCTAGAGTTTAAAGAGGACCATGAAAATTGAAGGTCCGCTTAGATGACAGGTACACACCACCTGTATAGAAAGAGGTAAAGAAACACTTAGGGGTCTATTCACTTTGCACTTCGGGTCAGCCGAACATGCTGAGCATGTTCGGCTGATCCGAAGCCACACGAAGCAAGCCGATGTACGGCTGATTTCAGCCATACCAGCCTGAAGTGAATAGCCGAACAGTGTTCGGCTCACTTCACTTCTGATCGGTCATTCATTCGGCTGCCCTCGGCAGCTTTGTGAATAGACCCCTTAGAAAAAATACAGCGCTTAAAGCAAAAAAATAAAACATACAAATCTTGTAACCGTGCCTCAACGGTGCATATTGGGAGAGCTGGGAACCCGAAATCCTGCAAGAATACACTTCAGAAAATTTTATGTTTTTGCCATACTAGAGAGTTGTTTCCATTTTAACCTTTCTGCACTTACATTTTATTAGTACTGACCATAGTGTATACACCATACATGGAGGTACGTTTCATATTTCTTATGTGTGTTATCTCTTTGATAGATATAAAGATTGTGGTTCCATCACCTCAAGAAAAGACTCAGCAAGAGTCTCGTCCTCAGATTCCACAAGATGTATCTATGACTGACTCTGCTGTTAGGCCAACAGGTATGTGTGACTTGTGATTATCATTGGTTGATCATTTCTCTGAAGGAGTTTGAATGAAAAGTATAATGACTTCAGCTGTCACTGGTAATGGGGTAACCCCAACTCAAGAGTTCATGTAAGATTGACTGCTGAAGCTGAATTTACTTCAATTTGACTTCAGCAGTCAATGTTACTGAAACCACCATCACTGGGAAACAGTTGGTTTTGCAAGTTGATGTAGAGTCTCTGGCTCATCAGCGTGTTACACATTTACTGTTAGGAAAATAAGCTTTCTATATGTCTTGAATAAACAAAAGGACATTACTAGGCACAGTAAGAATCAAATCCCTATTCTGCAAAGCTTCCTGCATTGTTATCTTTCCAGAAAAATAGCATAGAAACAGCTCAGAACAATGAGACAAGAGCAGTTGACTAAGCTGGAACCATTAACCTAAAGCCTAACTCCAGCCAACATTGGGTTTAAGCTTTGGATAGAGTGAGCAAGGTTTAAAATCTATGTAAGGTTTCAATTAATGTGTGTGTGCCCATTGGGGAGATTAGGCCACACTTCCTGTCTCGTTCATACTCTTTCATTCTCCATCACTCCTTATCAAACAGGTACACAAAGGTACATTTGGTAATGCATAGATTTCTCAGCTAAGAAAATGAATCAAGGTAGGGTTAATTTGACTAGTCCCAAAACAAAGGCCGAACCTAAGCACAACCTGAGCAAAAAGAGAGCTCTAACATGAAAGGGTCATAATGGGTCTTACAATAGGTGAATGTGGTGACATACTATATATCTGATGAGATATTTTCTGTACAATGTTCAAAATATATGACATCCAAAGTCACAACTCTGTAAATATTCTTTTTCATTTATAAGCCAGCTGACTGTATATCATGTATTGTTTTTGTGTTTTCGTATTAGTATTCTGTGATTTCTGTTTTCTTCCATCAGATGAGGAGAGATTCATTGTTGGGGAGATCCAGGGACCTTCTCATTGGTTTCATAAGGAGAAGGTCACTCTGTATTGTTCAGTGTCTGATTGCTCTAAGGACACCCGTGTGATGTGGATGGTGGAACATACAGATCGAAGAGTAGAGGAAATATCCAACATTGGAGGAGATCCCCTGACAGACTTCGGTTATATGACATCTAAGGAGATAGAAAAGTCTGATAAAGTAGGACTGATTAATGTTACAGCATCAATTATATTAGTGCCATCCGTGTCCAAACACATTGGAGTGATTTTCTCCTGCAGAATCTCCTCTGAGGGACAAACCAAGACCAAGGAATTCAAGCCTAAGTCTATATGTGGTAAAATAATTGCTTATGTCCATGTGTTTATTTCTGCCTATACTGTTTGAATTTCCTTATTTATTGATGTGCACTTGTGGAGAGACTAGTAATAAATATGTTGTTCTTTTTCATTTTTTTAATGATACTAAGTGCTAAAGCAAAGGGTAAAGTACCCTGTGCTGGCAAGATGTAGGAGAGTTAGGCAATGGTAGCAACCAGGCTCCCCGACCACTGCTCCAATCAAAAGTGCTGCTCCTACAGCAGGAGTAATGTTGCTTGGAGAGGTGTTTGGTGGTTGAGTGTCATGTCAGACCACTGGAGAGACAAGCTGCTGCTTTGTGTGTGATAGAGCCGTGGTCCAATGTGCTGTCAGCACAAAGTATCTTAATCTTTGCTGCGACCAGGGCCGGATTTACTCCCCCTGCCGCCCCAAGGCCAGGTTCTGCAATTCCCCCCCTGCTCCCTGCCGCCCTGAGGCCGGGCCTCTGTGGCCTTGTTCGGCGGACACCTTACACCGGCGCCCGCAACTTCCCCACAAGGTCACCGCTGCCGCCCCTCTGCGCTCTGCCGCCCTGAGGCCGGGCCTCGTGGCCTTGTGGGAAATCCGGGCCTGGCTGAGACACTTAACATATATAACTATGTACTGTTTGTGTGTATATATATACATCAGTGAGTGTGCCAATAACCAGACAGAAACAGTCACTGCAGGTGAATCATTCACTGTAATTTAAAACATGATAAAGGAAGATTCACCTTACATGAATGTTTGGTGAATGTCACATATACTGTTTTATAAATAGGTCCTCTGGTGTTTGAAACAAGGGGAAAAGAAGACCAGTATATTTAATACTGTATATGCAGCCTGACTACATTACAGTAAGTCCTCTTGCACATGAGGTTTTTATGTTTGGCTGCAGATTCCTGCTGGAAAAATCTGTAAATTCTTCCAGCAAGAATCACAGGTGGCTCCAGACAGCTTAAGCCAGCCACTTAGCCTGTACAGATTCTTGCTGGAGGAACCCCCAGCCAGTCATAAAAACCTTGTGTAAATGAGGCCTAATAAGTTGCAAGTGTTTGATTGGGTTTTAACAATGAGCATTAAAACAAACTCTCACTGATCTCTATAGCCACAAACACTCTGGAATCATTGATCCTCAAAGGTCATAACAGAAGTACTGAAGTTTGTTCAATAATTTTCATAGCAGCTCAGCTTTCTCACAGCTTATCAATGTCATGGCCAGCATAGGACAGCTTTACATCTATGAGTTTTCTGGGGCTGCTTAAAGTAACCCTGTTATAGATCAGTATGATGGGTCCATTGCTGGACTCCTTCTCATTCTTGCCTGGCCTTATATAGTGTCAGTAGTTTTCAGTCAGACCTGGGACATGCATGCTGTAATTGAGAGTCAGAAAAGTGTAAACATTCTTTTTTCCTGTACTACACTCAAGGTCAGCAACTCTTACCTTTTGGAGCCAGTTTATCTACATGACAGCCAGGCAACTAGCTTCTAGAAGAAATGGTCAGCAGTGGCATCCCACATGATTCTCCCATGCAATATCTCTTGCTATCCCATCTAACAATAAAATACCCTTTGCTTGCAGCACATAGGAGAGTATGGGTCACCTATATAAGGATTGCAATTAAGTGCTTTATTTTGTTTTCTGTTTCAGTCGCTCGTTACAGAGGACTCTAGGCTACACTGTGGGAGCACGGCGCTTCTGTCACATATATATTTATTGAGACACTGCGGGGTGTTTGAATACATGTTCCACATATCACATGCTGTAATAGGAACTTCCGGCATTTATACACTAATTATGGTATTTCTTTTGATTCAAGAGATTGGTTTATATTGATCGTTTGATTTATTCACTTACTGATCACATATCGAGACAGAAGATTTCAGTATTTTTATAGAAGTTTAGGTGTTGTTTGTGATTAAATAGTTTATCCTTTCACTTTGGAATTCACATCCATTTAGATCAAGTGCAACTTACTTGCCATATCACATAGGAGAGTCTGACCACGGCTCTCTTACTCAAAGCAGCAGCCAGGCTACCCAGGAGTCCCATAAGCCTCCTGTCATTTCTCAGGGAGTGTGAGGTATAATAATTGGAGCACTGTGCAGGGGCATTTGTGACCCCCAGACCAGTGGCGGAACTACCGCCGGTGCAGGCGGTGCGGACGCACCAGGGCCTCCGGCCTCTAGGGGGCCCAGCGCCGGATCGGTACCTTTTGGGGGGGGGGGGGGCCCAAAAAAAAATCTTGCACCAGGGCCCTTTGTTCCTTAGCTCCGCCACTGCCCCAGACACCCTGGTCACTATGTTGTGAGTGATAGCAGTGGTCAGACTCTCCAGCCTGCTGCCAGCACAGGGTATTTTAACCCTTTCTTCAGCAAAAAGTTAAATGGGAATGACAGTAATAAATGCAGAAGGTTTCAATGGGATTTAAAGATACATTCTGGTGTTACTAGATACACAAATGCAAATATAGGAGTAAAGGATGCTAAAATATATTGAATTATTTTAATTTATACTACTAGCAAAGCCACAAGTCCTGGAACCGGTGAAGACAAGTCTGTATGACAATGGAGATGTCATCTGCTCTTTGAAACTTCAGGATACTTACCCCAAACAAGTGAAGATTACCTGGAGATCAGGAGAACATGAGCTGAAGTCCAGTGAGAAGTTTGAAGTGAATAATGATGGGACATTTAATGGTCACAGTCATTGTACTGTCCCAGGAACTCTCCTATTAGATCCCAACTTCAACCTCCATGTGACCTGGAAACACAAATCTCTGACTACACCACAATCACAAGTCCTGTCCTGGAGGGATCCAGGTAAGAGCAAGACAAGTCTATTTCTGGACCTTAGTTTGTTCATCATCTCTATCTGATGTGAATAATATGGAGATTAATAACCTATTTACCTAACCCTGTACAACGCACTGCCTTCCTGAAGTTCTCCATCTTCTTAACAGTTTCAAAATATAATCATGAATGAGATTGTGATCACCACTTATACTGGTATGATCATGCTCATTGTGATTGTGGGAAACCTTCAATGAATTTCAGCATTTCACTGTTATTTCAAAATCCATATCCAAGTTAGATAAAGAGGACCTGTATAAGCTGTGTCCAAAAAGGTCATTTACCACATTTATATTTTGTTATCTATCTCTGTTTCATTGTGTTTTGTTTGGTTGTTTAGTCTGATGTAAGCTGTGTTAAGTTGCCTCATGAAAGCACTCCGTGAGCCACACTTCCAGCTATAAGAGACACCATTTCCAATGTTTTGCTTCCACCCCCTATCTGTGTTTTGCCATTCACATAGCACTGCCTGTGATGACCAAATCTCATTCCAAATCTGTTGGCACAGGAGAGCCTAGGCACCCTCACATACCTGGAAGTGATCTGCTATTTTTCATGTGGACTTCCAGACAGAAGGTAGATGTTCACAGTACTGCTTAGGCACAATAATTATTTACAGATGTTCCCTATTAGGGAGCAGATCCTCACATTTTGAGTTCAGGTCCACTTTAACAATTACTGCTAGAGGTGCACCAAAATGAAATCTTTAAAACCGAAACAAAACCAAAAATAAAAAAAATGTCATGCCGAAACCGAAAGTTTTTTTCTAAACCTTTTCAATTTTTTTAAAATACGGTATTTTATTTTTATTTATTTTCTATTTTTATGAAATATTTTTATTTTCGGGCTTCGTGGAAATATTTTGGGTCTAAACAGACCCCTGATATTTCCCTTTTAAAACAGAAAAATAGATTGAGGACACAGAGTTCTCAGAGACACACAGATCCTCAATCTCTTTTTTCTGCAGCCCCATGTTATCAATGAACAGGAATCCTCATTACTGAGTGTTCCCGATCATTCATAACAGGAGGACATAGTATGGTTACTATAATTACAATCATGAATGGACAGGAGGTGATGTAGATCACTTCCCATTCATTCATAATTAGGGATATAGTAAGCATACTAGGGGGAACAAAAACTGGAGCAGATGTGCAGGGCAACCAATCATCTTTTCTGTTCAGTTTGTTTAATTAAGGTTTGAAAATGAACGATAGATGATGATTGGTTGCTGTGCACATCTGCTCCAGTTTTAAATTCTCCTAATTCTGTCCTTGTACCCACTCCATCCTGACTCACTGACACAGGAGGCTGAGTGGGGTGGTGCGGGGAGGAGAGCTCGGTCTTCTGTGACAGCTGTCTCCACCCCCACACAGCGCTCTACTGATCTGTCACAGGAGATCCCAGCCTCTTGTGACACGCCGGACGCTCACATTACTCTCCTCCCCCCCGCAACACTCAGCCTCCTGTGACAGTTTCTGTCCTCCCTGCTGGGCAATGCACTGTGTCAGAGGGGACACAGAGCAGCGCCCAGCAGGGAGGAGAGAAACCAGGCATGTACCGCTATTTTGGCCAAAAGATGACACTTTCAGTCTTTTGCCAAAAGTCTCATTTTAGGCTGATATGTTTCGGCGGGTAAAAATTTCAGTGCATCCCTAATTACTGCTTCTACTAGAAAGCTGAAACACTGCCGTGACAGAGACGGGAATTGACACTGTTGTAGAACTGATTTGAATCAACAAAATCCTGGTGAATACTAAGTGCATCTCGTTCATGTTTTGCTGTTAATATAGTTTCCATATTGCATGATACAGAAGATACATTGTAATGTACATAGGTCATTGGAGAACATATTGATGATGTTTATAATTGTATATTGTTCTATGAAGGTCTGCCCTGGTGCCCAGTAGTTGAAGAGGTCCCTATACCTCATGTACTAATAGAGCGACAGAACACTCTGCAATACAACATCTCCCGATACTTCCCTGATGCTGTGACTGTGAGGTGGTTCAGGAAGGAGAAAGGAGCCCAGAAATATATTCCTCTATCAGACTGTAATGTGTACCAGATACTGGACATCCAGTCCCAGAGACAGTCCGATCACACCTATTCCTGCACAGCCAGACTGCTGTTCAAACCATCCGTGAAAGATGTAGAATCAGAGATCATATGTAGAGTGTCCCATCCCAGCCTGGAGAGACCCATAGAGAAGACATCAGGACCTCTACAGGTGCAGGGTGAGTGAAAGAACATTGATGATAATATCACACACAGAAGATAAATATATATTAAAGGAGATCTAAGTATCTTTTTTAAGAAAAGTCCCAGCATATCCTCTCATGTTATGACATCAGCATTGTATTAGGAATACATACTGGTGTTGTTTCTGATACTGCAATCAAAGCTCACATAAAAAATCCCTTTTATGTAGTGAGTGCTGCTTTCCATCTGCCCGTCACTTCCAAAAACTTCCTGGATACCCAGTGTGCTTTGTATCTTTTTTACTGCTGCTTGATATCATACAATCTCCATTTCTCAAGACTACATTTCCCAACATGCATTGCTACCAGCAAGCAATGATAATGTTACATTGTTCAGATGCTGAATTGTAGTTCAGAAGGAAGGCAGGCTGAGTGAAATTGTGTGCATTGAGGAAGTCCATCCTATGGGGCATCTTCAATAAGTAAATTTATAAAATAGGGGTGTGGGAGGAGGGAGAAAGAAGACAGGGAGGAGCCTCCATGTCCCCCACTTGCTCATCACTGATGAGGAATCTAGATGGATGCCGTCAGTTTTTTTTTTTGATTGGACGACTTGGACCAATGGCGCACTGCCATTGGTCCAAACCATCCACAGAGCTCAAGTCTCTGACTCCAATTCAGAGGCTTGTTGTAGCTCTGACCTCACTGTGTTAGGTTACACACAGCATTGGGGAAGCCTGCTGCAGTGAAACCCAACATTGCTGTCAAAAGCCGGATGAAGTGCCGCCTGTAATTAACAGCGCTCCATCTATGACGGGTTATACAACCTCCCCGGACCGCATGTCCCTGGTTTCCATTATACATATGTCACATTATCATACCATCTTGTAGTGGTAGTGAGAAGTAATGAAGGAAACAGTGCTATCATCTAGGGAAGTGATATAATCATCCCCTCACAGGAAGTTCTCTGTTATAACATTATTTATTCTGTGGCAGGAGCAGAGCATATATAATAGCACATTATTTTAACTTGCAATTTTAGAGTGTGTACATTTAAAAAAAAAAAGAAACTTTAGTTTTAGGTGTTAATCATGAAAATAACACACTTATATCTCACTATTATAAACTGTTATAAACTTTTATTGACTTCCAGCTAAACCGAAGGTGAGGAGGCCAATAAAATCATCTCTGGGTAGCGGGGAGCTGATACTCTCTCAGTTGCTGGAGAACTTTTATCCCAAAAACATCCAGATTGAGTGGTGTGATTGGTCAGGAGATCAGCCGGGACAACGCTGCCCATCACAGGAGAAATATACAACTAATATGAATAAAATATTCAGTGTTACCAGTCAGTGCCGAGTCCCTGAGAGTCTCTTACACAACCCGGACTTCAGAGTACGACTGACCTGGAGACACGAGTCCATGGATGAGGAGGAGTACAAGGAATTCTCTATAAGAGATAAAGGTAAGAGATAAAACTCATCATTTCACGTTTCTTCTTCAGCCGTATTCATTGTAATCTGCTGATGTGCTGCTTGTCTAGGAAGAAAAAATGCCATCTTCTCCTTTAGAAAAGGTACAAAATTCCCCAAAAGGGAGATCCCACTATTCCTTCAAACAGATGTAAAATAGATATTTATAAAAATATATATGTTTATTTATAGAAACACTAAAAAATATGTATAACAGAACATATCAAAATTTGTATAAAAAAACACACACACATGTATATGGCTGCATTCCGCTAATAACTTTTAAACAGTATCAAAATTTGTATAAAAAAACACACACATGTATATGGCTGCATTCCGCTAATAACTTTTAAACAGTAGGTAGTGGAAAAACAATTTAAAGACACACCGTTTGAATGCCTAGTGAAGCCCACAGTGAAGCCCACACCAGGGTTTGAATAGTAGGGGACCCTCCTTCACATTATTTAAACTACTTATTAAACCTTCCCTTCCCCCAATTAAATATCCATCTTCTCCTTTACCTGGGGGGCAGAACACCTCAGGATCTTAATACATGATTGCTGCCTGGCATTTGAGATGATTGTTTATGTGAAGAGCTAATAAGAGAGCAACTTTAACTAGTTGTTGGCATTGGGTGTGCTAAGTATGCCCACAAATACTTCATTGAATGACAACATGGCATATGTAGCATTATTATTACATAGTATTTATATAAGGAAGACATTACAATCACAATACAATTCAAGACAAGATGGTAAGGAGGCCCTGCCCTTGGGGGCTTACAATCTAAGAGGGATGGGGAAGTGATACATGAGAAGGGAGCTGTGTGGGGATGAATTGTTTGAGAATGTGATGGTTCAGTGGTTAGGTTGAGGTGGGATAGGCTTCCCTGAAGAGATGAGTCTTTAGGGAACGCCTGAAGGCAGTCAGAGTGGGAGACAGATGGACAGGTTGGGGTAGAGTTCCAGAGGATGGGAGAGACTCTAGAGAAGTCCTGGAGGCGTAAATGGGAGGAGTTGACAAGGGAGTTGGAAAGCAGGAGGTCTTGGGAAGAGCGGAGGGGACGGTTGGGGTGATATTTTGAGACCAGGTTTGAGATATAGCCGGGGCCAGAGTTGTGGATGGCTATATAAGTGACTGTTAATATTTTGAATTTTATCCTCTGGGCGAGTGGAAGCCAGTGGAGGGACTGACAGAGGGGGCAGAAGATGGAGCCCAGTGGAGGGATTAACAGAGGGGAGATGCATACACTGAGCGGTTGGTCAGGTGGATGAGTCTAGCAGCAGCATTCATGATAGACTGAAGGGGGGATAGCCGGTGTAGTGGAAGGCCAATGAGGAGGGAGTAGTCAAAACGAGAGATAACAAGCGAGTGGATGAGTAGTTTGGCGGTTTCATTGGTGAGGAAGGAGCGTATTTTGGAGATGTTACGAAGGTGAAGGCGGCAGCATTTGGATAATGATTGATGACACCTAGGACCTTGGCATGAGGGGAGGGCTGGATAGCATGCCCTGTCCTTCTCCGCTACTGCTGCTCCCTCCTCTGCAATGGCTGCCAATCTGACAGTCGGGAGTTGCTGTGTTATACAGCAGCTATTACAGCAGTGGTCTCAAAGTAGCGGACCAAATGCGGCCCACAAGCCGGTACTATGTGGCCCGCAGCCAGCTGACTGGTATTATTTTATATGGGGGGGTGTATTTTTTTTATGTGTATGGGGGGAGTGTATTATTTTATATGTGGGGGTGTATTTTTTCTATGTGTATTATTTTATATTTACAAGGGTAGTATTTTTTTATGTGTATAGGGGGGGCCATATTAGGCTCCATTCACACCTGTAAGTTTAGGTGCAATTAGGGATTCCTGCGTCAGGAACTTGCGTTTTCCTGCAGCAGGAATGCCTAATCTGGCGTTTACAAGCAATAGCTGTCACCTATTCAAGTTAATGATGAGGTGACAGCTGCTGCATGTAAATGCCTGCATACTGGATGTAATTGTATGTGATATGATTACATTTGGTTAGGAATCGATCCCTCTCCCTGGGCGCATCGATCCGGGGATCCGGGGAGGAGTACAGGAGCTCTGCAAGTGACCGGTGAGTACCGCATATACTATGATAAAAGACACATTTGCTCCATTGTGTAGCTCTTCCATCCCTTTGTTATTCTGTAGTACACAGATGAGATGACAAAGGAGAAGCTTATGCAGAAAATGTTTTTACTGAGAGAAAGGTGTCTGATGAGAAGTAAAAGA